GTTTTGTTTTGACTCTTGATAAAACTACGAGACAATCAATTTTCAATTAACTTTGTTTACATCTCCCCAACTCTAAGGTTTGATTAGGTGGTCGAATGAAACAAATTGATATAAGTTTCAGAAGAATAAAGACAAATATTTTAGGGAAGAAAACAAGAACATTGGGAAGAAGTATTGGTTTAAATATTATTTGTTCAGTTTGTCCTGTCCATTCAAAACATCTCTATTTTGGTCTTTATACTTTTAACTTATATTTATCTGAGTGAATGTACTTTCAAAATGACTGTTTTGGTTAATGTAATTTTAAAAAGTAACCATTTTAATCATTCATTTGTAAAATTTTGCCACAAAATCTATCAAGGTTTTAAATGTCAATATTGATAGAAATGTTGAGGTTTCAATTTCATGAAAATATCAATAAAATATCGACGTCGACGGATATTTCTGTATAAGTTAGAAAAATTAAAAAATCGTAAAAAATATTTAAATTAACAAATACACATTTTTCTATTTATAAACTAGTTGAAAATAATTAATATTAACATATATATATATTAGTTCAATTTTGTTGATATTTTTCATATTTTGTTGATTTTCTCGTACTATGATGGAAATGTTGATTAACCCCTCACGTCAATGTCCTATTTAGAACCATAAAATTTATATACAACCAAACCATTTAATACAAATTTACTAAATTTCAAAAAATTTATTGAACTGTCATGCAAAAGAATTATGATTAAAAATATGAGATAAAAAAAATAAAGAGACCAAAATTGTTACTTTATTATAAAAGCATAGAAACCAAAAGAACATGTTGAAAATACAAAGACTAAAATAAAAAAAAGGTTGAAAATCTAGGGACCAAAAATAAATGTTTCTAAAAGTATAGAACCAAAATAATATTTAAATCATAAATTTATATTATTTAAAAAAAAACCAATTACATAATTTAATTTATAAATCTTAATTTATTATTTTTCAAAATCACAAACAATAAAAAATTTAATTAATATGAAGTAACTTATCAAACAATATATTATTAATAAATCTAAAGCATAAATTATATTTTGTTCCTTATATTTTTAGGTTTATCTCATTTCATCTTTAAATTTTATATATATATATATATATATAAGGCATCTTAGACAATGTATTTTTTTTATTCAAAAACCATTATAATTCTTACCATCATTTATTCATCAATTTGTTACATATGGATGACACACCTTTAAACAATGTATAATACATTAATAATGAGAGGGTATATATATATATATTAGTACGAATGTGAGGTGAGAGATCGAACTCACAACCTCTTAATTGRAAATATATGTTAATTATCGTAGTTATGCTCGCTTTAGCCAGAGGGTATATATTGAAGTTATATAAATTAGTGAAAGTGAGCATCGAGTTTTAGATACAACTTAATTATGTGCCAAAACGAGCATAGCTCAATGGTAATTGACATTTATCTCCAATTATGAATTCGATCCCTCACCCCCACATGTTGTACTAAAAAAAATACAACTTAATTATGTAACTCAATAACAAAGATTGATTTTACCAACCTAAATATAATTTAGTGGTTAATGTATTTATATTTTGTTTGAAATGAAGCTCAATAACTCCAACCGAAAGGTTGTAAGTTCAATCCYCACCCCACATCTTGTACTAAATTCAAAAAAGTGAACGGTTCGCGTTGATGCACATACTCAAAGCTACATTATCCCTCCTCTCAAACGATTGATAACAAGATAATAATAAAGACTAAAATATTTTAAAAGTTTATTGGAATAAAAAAATTCAAACCTAAATTTGACTTAAATTTATTGAATGAGTAGAAATATAAAAATGTTGAATTATAAATTTCACGAGCTAAATTTTTTAAGTTGGGTTTACTTAATTAATTTTATACCTAATCAAGTCCTATTATTAACTTTATCAATTAACACTTACATATTACTAATTAGGGATTATATGATATAACATGACAACTAAATATGAAGCTATATATCATTTCGTGGGTTCACTTAGCATGCTTTATTTGACACATCAACATCGCCACATAATCTCAAATAATACACACATTATGCAAGCGTTGAACACAAAATTAATATTAATAATACAAATTTAACCGTATAAAATTATAACTAAAGTATTAAATAATGGGTCGTATGATTTGAGGTTTGTTTGGATGCTCATTGGTGACAGATGTTTGAGAAAAATATTATTGGCATTAAAAAATTTAGTGTGTTTGCTTTTTCAGGGAGATGACATGGTAATAAATCATACTTGTATTTTATTTTGAGAAATACAATTATAAAACATTACTTAATTAATCTAAGATAATAGTTATTTTATATTAATATTCTAAATAGGTTATTTTATATTAATTCATTCCTCTTRGTCTACTTACCTCTAAATAATTATAAATTTGAAAATTTAGAGACTAAATTTATAATTTTATTTTATAAAAATATAATTTTTTTATTAAGAATTTGAACCTCCCATGTAAAAAAAAATAGATATTATTTATCATTGAACTTGCATATTGAAGTGCAACTTCGAAGCTTAACCAGTTGAACTATATTCAGATTTCCTATCGTTAAACTACGTTGGTGATAGCAATATAGAAATATAATTATGAAATACATGGTAAACTAAAAGGACAAAAAAATATGTCAATTTAAACTTATCTAAATGATAATTGCTACTCTTTTTAACGAAGAGGTCATAAGTTCGAATCTCCGCACCCCACCTCTAGTAAAAATGCAAAAAAAAAAAAACTAAAAATAGGAAGGGGAGGGTAAATGAGGAATTTACTCCTTTACCTTCCATCAAAAGTTTTAACTTTAGACACATTCTTAATTATGGTCTCTCTCCTCAGTACTCATCACTCTGCAACAAGTTTAGTTAACCGATCGTTCGTGACAGCATCGCGCCTTCCCCAATTTTCTGACTGCTCCTCTGCACAATTTCTCGTTCATTGCCGCTTCCTCCATTGTTTCAGAGTATGCATTCTTCTTCATTGGCTCTATTGTTGTCTCTACTGGATGCTAGGGTTCTATCATCGACGTGTTTCTGAGTGCTCTGGTTCGTTTCTTCGTATACTGGTTTTTGATGATTAACCTGTTTGTTTGTGGTATTTGAATGGTGGGGTGTGATTCCTTGAAGATGGAGGGAGATAAGGATGCCTACTACGTTGTGCAGAAGGGGGGTGTTGTTGGATTTTACAAAAGTTTGAAGGAGTACGAAGCTCAACCTGGATGCTCTGTAAACATTTCCACTATACTTTTCCTTTTGGTTGTATTTATGGACGTGCCGTATATTTGTATGATCTGGGTTTTGTTTTCTCAAACTTCGTTGAACTAACGGGAGCATCCCTTTTTGGGGTTTCTTCTCTCGGAGAAAGTATTCAGTTCGTTACTTTGACATTATTGGTTTCAACGGGTTAAGTGAACTTTTAGAGTGTTTGCTCTATTTTTCCTGCTGGTGGTTTTTTGTTTTTTTTAGATAAATCCCTGAGTGGTTAGACCAGTTTGCAGTACTCCATGGGACCTACCATATTTGGTTTGCAAGAAAATTTTGTAGGATTTTAATAGGTAGGCGGCGAACCATGAAATTTAAACTCATTTCCTCTAAGTTCCTTTACTTTTTCACTAACTCCAATGACCACAAAACCATCATGGTTTGATCTAGTGGTCAATAAGGGTCAATGTAGATAGTAAAAGGACTTAGAGGGGACGAGTTCAGACCATGGTGACCACTTAGGATTTAATATCTTATGAGTTACCTTGGCAACTAAATATAGTAGGTTTAGACGGTTGTCCTGTGAGATTAGTCGTGTTGCGTGCAAGCTGGCCTGAACACTTATGGATATCAAAACATTGTCTAAATGCTATGTAATGTTAGTTGAGAAGACCCACATTTTCAGATTTTTGTATGGTATATTTGTGAAGTTAGTGAGATTGTTAGTCTAATAGCAAATAAAGGAGTGCCACTCATAGTTGTATTACATCGGTCTTTCTTAGGCCTAAGGATAAAGTTCTCGAGTTTATTATGGCAACATAACATGTCTAGAGATCTCAAATGTCAAATCTCAAGCCCCGCGTTTGTCTCTGGACTATTTACCATGTCCCCAGCCCCATTTTTTCTTCCAACATCATGTTATAAGTGGGGGTCGAGTTGGTAATGGTAGAAACTTGCACTTTCTTCATCTTCTTCTTAACACATAGAATATACAATTATCTTAAAATTACACCTTTGCTTTTGAATATGAGGTTGATGTTGCCTTTACTCCCATCTTACTAGATATTTGATCCCAATGCAACGATCTACAAAGGGTATCACTTATCTAAAGAAGCAGAGCAGTACCTTGCGTCACATGGACTTCAGAGTGCGACTTACTCTATAAGTGCTGCCAATGTGACAGAGGATTTATTTGGCAAACTACTTGCTTGCACTTATGAGGTTGGAGATAACACATTTTATGTTAAAGAACATCTAATTATTTTCATTATTTTGTACTGGACTTTTACTTAAATTCTGATCAGTTGCTTGTAGATCATGTTGACCTTTTATCTAAAGGCATAAAATGAGTTTGTTTGATCAAAGAATCTTGCCTGCTTTCTTTTTCCTTTCTAATTTTTGTTTTTATGAAACTTGCAGAATTATTAAGCTTGAATGGTGCAACTTCATTTTTGATTTATCATATTCTTGAATGAATTGGATATTGAACCAACATAGTGGTCAGAGTTAAAAATTCTGCTACTGATTGAAACATATTTGTATTTTCCTCAGCAACCATCTTCTTATAGAGGACAAACTACTGAAGAGCGCTCAGCTAATAGACCACACCAAGTTCATGGGGCTAATGAATATGTAAGTCAGTCTACCTTTTTCTTTTTTATTTTAAGAAACATTTTCATGGATGATATGAAATAATAAAAATTATTTTACTTCCATAGAGCATTATGATTATCGAAAGAATGGCACGTCCAGGATTCACGTGGCTGTTGTTGACTTAGGATTTGTTTTACTTCCTTTACTCAAGTGGGCAGATTTTGTTGGTTTCTATTTTCCTGTCTGCTTAAACTAGTTAATTGAAGTTTAAATCATTTGATTTTGTATGGTTTCTTTTTGTTTCTTTTCATTCCCCCCAAGTTGTTTTTCTCAATGATGAATGGTGTCTGTTTTTTTCCTCTCATTTCTCCCAAGGAAAATTGTTTTCTTTTTGATAAAATATGTTGTGGTATTATTAATTATTTATTTCCATCAAGCCATCTCAAGAGTTACTTTTTTCGGAGGAGGGTTGGGAGGAGAGAAAAGAAAAAATATACGCAATCTATTGGCCATTTTGATTGGTTTGATTTAGTCCAGCAGTCTTTTACTACACTCATTTTGTGTTCTTCAGGGGTTTGTAGGTGCAAACTGGGTCTCAACAGATTCTCCAAAGCAAGAAATTATTTGGGATCATGGTTTTGAAGCCGTACCTGCTTCTTCGAGCTGTGTAAGTTGCCATCTTGAGTCCTTTACTATTCAGCTGTTGCATGGAAGGACCAAAATATCAATTATCTGCCTCTTCATTTAAAATTCATTTTTTTCCTTGCATTGCATCACATGGACTTCAGAGTGTTACTTACTCTGTAAGTTCGTCCAGCATGACCAATTATTTATTCAGCGAACTATTTGCATGCCTTATGAGGTTTGAGATAACACATTTTGTGTTCAAAATTTCAAATTATCGTAATTATTGTTCTCAAGTTCTTGGTTACAAAAAATCTAATTTGTTTCTGTGGATCAATTTGACCTGTAATGTTGAGCCTAAATGCATTAACTTTTTGATAAATGAGTTGTATCCGAGAAATTTTACCACTTTATTCATGAAATTGATAGGACTATTGAACTTGAATGGTGCTGTTTCAGGATCTTTCATATGCCTGAACGTATTCAATATTTAATCAAAATAGATGCGGAGGAATTGGAACTTCCTCTGCAATGATATTTTTACTTAAAAAATATTGATATTTTCCTCAGAAACTATCTGCTTCTAGAGGAAAAATGGCTGAAGGTTACTCTGGAGCTAAGAGACCGCATCAACATGAGACTGTTGAATGTGTAAGTTTTTTTGATTGGGACGAACTTAGTAAGTTTGTCCAGCATGACCAATTATTTATTCAGCGAACTATTTGCATGCCTTAGGAGGTTTGAGATAACACATTTTGTGTTCAAAATTTCAAATTATCGTAATTATTGTTCTCAAGTTCTTGGTTACAAAAAATCTAATTCGTTTCTGTGGATCAATTTGACCTGTAATGTTGAGCCTAAATGCATTAACTTTTTGATAAATGAGTTGTATCCGAGAAATTTTACCACTTTATTCATGAAATTGATAGGACTATTGAACTTGAATGGTGCTGTTTCAGGATCTTTCATATGCCTGAACTTATTCAATATTTAATCAAAATAGATGCGGAGGAATTGGAACTTCCTCTGCAATGATATTTTTACTTAAAAAATATTGATATTTTCCTCAGAAACTATCTGCTTCTAGAGGAAAAATGGCTGAAGGTTACTCTGGAGCTAAGAGACCGCATCAACATGAGACTGTTGAATGTGTAAGTTTTTTTGATTGGGAAAAGAGGTACCTGTTTGCATTTCCCAGGGTACAAAATTTGTAGTTTTTACTTTTCGATCTGGTCAACCTTGTGGTTTGAGCATGGATTTCAAGCTTGATGCAAATAAATAAGTTTTCGTTCTACGTCTCCGAGCTATATATCCATTTCTTTGTTTTTGATTATCTTTCAACTGTATTCGTTTTTATCTTCTTCAGGACTTTATAGGTGGCAGTTATTGGACCTCAACACCTCTACCAGATATTGGTTTTATAGCCTCAGCTCCTTCGTCTAACTGCGTAAGTTGCTATGTTTAGTCATTTACCATTTTGTAGTTTCCTGGAAGAAATAACAATATCAATATACGGATATCTGCTGTGTTCAATCTTCATTCTTTATGCAAATCTTCTAGTCTGTAAACCACTCATGGTATACATTTATGGATATTTACTTTCTTTCGTTATTTATGAAACTCTCTCTCTATCTCTCTCTCTCTCTTTGAGATGTTAGAATTTCTTTAAATTGAATCAACCAGAGATAGCTTGTCTCCTGTGTTGTTACATAGGGAAGTGTCTGCCTTTAATTTGGTAATGAACTGCCAGTTCATAAATTTTGGGCAGAAAGTTGTCCAAGTTGAGTAGAGTTGATGCTTCCTCAAAATATCAAGGTAGGATAAACACACTGGACTTTATACGGTGGGTGCTATTTCCTAGAAGAGTAAGGTAGGTGATAAAAGCTCATCCTAAATGTGGTGTGATACTGTTTCCCGGGTTAGGGTGTAAGACTACCAATTGTAAATGTTTATACTAGTAGGGGCAGGGATGGAAATTCTACTATTAGTTAGTTACAGGTGGGGCCCAGTGGTGAGTGTGGAAGTCTGTACGGGGTAGTAGTATAAGGCAGGGAAAACCTGGGATGGAAGGTAGGGTTTATTTTCATTGAGTGTCGTAGCTAGGCTATTGGGACAGATTACCAGCTCTCTCAAATTGGCTGGGTAGCATTGTTCTTCGTTTGTTTGTTGAATTCCAAGAACTTGTAAGGGAGAGATACCTTACAGATAGGGTCATTTGTCTTCTATCACAATAGTACTTCAACCAAATTCTTGGATGATCCACCTTTAATAAAGGTGACAGATCGAACATCAATAGCAATGATTCGATAAACGGCTCATTGGGATAGATGTAAATTAACAATACCCCCCCCAGAACCGTATAAGAAGTTTTCTCCTCGTACGGCTCGAGGAAATTCAAAGTTATGTATAGAATTCTAATTAATGTCAAATAGATCCATAGATTATTAAATCAATTAGACTATGATTTAAATACTTTTTTCTTATTCTTTTGTTTATTTTTTATTCTTTTTTGAAAAAAAACTCATTCTTTATCCCCATAACTCAAGTTGTATAACTCTCCTGACGACCCTCTAGAAATTTCTCACCCTTAACTAATCAAGGATGACATCAGTCTCTGAATACCGAGTCTTTTCTTTAGCTGGACATTCCAGTGATAATAATTATTGCTCCACTTCTACAAGTACAAAGTGTTAGTTGTTGTGGCATTTTGGAAGCGGAAAATGTTTTGAATGTTCTACACTTGTACCAAGGTTTGTAAGTGTGGAGCATTGGAGATGGTCGATACATGATGAAGCAGCTGGGTATGACTTAAATATTCAGTATAGACTATAGGCTATGGACTAAAGAGATTATGTGGAAGCACTTCATTCGAGCTTTTCTTTGGATTTTTTGGAATGAAAGGAACCATCGACTATTCCTAGACAAAGATCTTGCCTTTCATCACTCTTTTTGATAATATTACTTTTCATGCTGTCTTGGTGTAAATCATCCCTCTATTTTCATTCTTATAGGATGACTCTTTATTAACTAATTGGAGAAGTTTTCTATAACTCCTTTGGTTTTTTGGTGGGTTCGCCCCTCTTTGTAATTTCATCCATCAATGAAATTGTTTCTTATAAAAAAAAAGTTCTATATTGTAACTTTTTCCTTTAACCTTAATAATATCCTGTGAATTGCTCTAAGTTTTATCTCAACTTGCAATGTGTTTAAAAATTTAAATAATAAATTAAACAGGTTAACTCCCAGACCTATTTTCTTGAGTTTGATGGTGCCTCAAAGGGGAATCCTGGGCTAGCAGGTGCTGGAGCTGTTTTACGTGCTAAAGATGGATCTACAGTATGTAAATTCAGTTATTCTATGTACATTCTTAATTTAATTTAATTAAATATTTTTTTTTCTGTTGTTTAAGTCAGTTATATTTGATAGGTCTGTAGGTTGCAAGAAGGGGTTGGGATCGCTACAAATAATGTTGCGGAATATCGTGCTGTAATTTTAGGACTTAAACATGCTCTTAAGAATGGCTTTAAACACATTCGTGTCCAAGGAGATTCCAAGCTCGTTTGTATGCAGGTTTGCTGTGCACAACAATATGCATTCAAAATTATCATAAATTTGAGGTGTTCAAGTGACACAAATTAGTTGTGTCTAAGAAAGATAGATAAAATATTTAAATTATTGTATATGTATATATATATATATATATGTAGATATTCAAATTTGACACCGAAGAAATTATCAATTTTTTTTTTACATAGAAGGGGAAGAGATGTGCATACTCCTATAGAATATTCTAAGTGAACATTTAGACTGAAAAAAATTGATGTAATATAAATTTTTAAGTGAAACATTAAGACTTGTATTCATAACTTCGGAAGCTTTCTTCGTACTATCATGCCAACTTAGGTGGTTTGACAGATTAGATATATCTCTTTACTAATAAATATTGGATCTCGCCTCCACTCACTAAAATACTCTAATGGGTTATCATCCAAGTGATAATTGGGACTCTACATAAGACCGATGGTGTGTCCTCTCCTTTCTATATTTGTGGAGGTGCTGGTCTTCAATAGATTTATGTGGAGAGGGGCAAATGAGAAGGATGGAAACTTTCAGACTTAAAGGAAGTAAATAAATATGTTATTTGATTTTGAAATATGTTAGTAATTATATTTAGTTGAATAGGAGTATCAATTGATCTATGTGGTGTAGATGCTACTATTGGTTGGTTCATAAGATTGAATAATTTGCCACAGAAATTGGAACAAGGCTTTATAGTTCTGAAAATGGCATTAAATTGTTTTGATTTACTATCTTTCATGTAGTTGAATACAGTGAAGTCATAATTTATGTTGTTTAGTCGATGTTATTGTTTATTCTCGAGAACTTGTTGTTTAACTATGTTCCCAACTGTTGCAACCGTTTGATATTACAGTTGTAGGTCCTTCCAGAAAGAAAAAGGAAAAGAAGATTTAGATGTCGATAGGCTTTCAAGATGTTGCTACTTTCTTTAATAGAATATAGTGACAGATTACGTTAGAGATTGATGACTTATATCGACCTTTTTTCTCCGATTATAACCTTTTTTATGTTTGAATTGGATGTACAATCAAACGCTGGTTTTGTATGACAGGTTCAGGGTCTGTGGAAGATCAAAAACCCAAATATGGGTCAGTTGTGTAAAGTGGCAAAGGAGCTCAAGGATAAGTTTGCATCATTTGAGATCAGTCATATCCCTAGGGTACATCCATCAGCCTAAAATTATGTTCCATTTTTTTTTGTTCTTTATGAAGATTTGCAAGTATTTGCTCTTTTAATTCTTAGTGTTCAGTTCTTTCATAAGTTTCTCAATGGTCCAATCCATCTCTGTAAAGTTGACTAAATTTTTCCTTGTTGGTGAGATTAGCAATTTAGTTTATATGGTCATATCTATATATATTTTGATAATCGTGGCTCTCCTATGCCCAAGAGCACCCGTGCCCTCCCCAAGGCCTGGAACTGAGAGGCATCAATGATTTTTGGTATTAAGCTCACCAGAAAATTCGAACTTGAGACCTCTAAATTGGTATGACCAAGAGACCCAAGTACTTGCCAACAGGGCTGTTCCTTGGGGGTTTAGATGGTCATATCTATTTTATCTCTTAAATTTAAAAATTTTCAATTGCATCTCTGAACTTTTAATTATATGATCCTTTGTATTATTTGTCGTAAGCACTTTAACTAAATGGTTACGTAACATGTTTGTTAGATAAATTTTAGCTAATTGAAGGGATAGAATTGAGAATATTATTAGAGTATTAAGGGTATATTAGCAATTAGGTTAAAAATTTGTTAGAGGGATTGGTTATAAATAGAGTGATTGGGAAATGGTTGAGGTAGTCAATTGTTTAGCGTGGTTTAGGCTTGAGTAAGAATAATTAAGAGAGGGGGGTCTAAGTACCTCGAATTACTTCGTAGTTATGGTAGTTTTTCTATCTTTTATATTTCAATCTATTTCTAGTTGTTTAGTTTATATCATTGATTATTCAATATTGATCATGGATCTACAAACCACCTCTTATTCTCTTCCTCATTTTGCACTTCACTTTTTACTGATATATAACTCTTGACCGCTCCTGTTATTGGTTCTGCAATTTCAAGGAACAAAATTCCGATGCCGATGCTCTAGCAAACCGTGCTATACATCTCCGAGGTGAGTGAGGCCTTTCTCGATGCTAAATTACATCGTCCTCTGTCGGGTTGTATCTGTATGGCTTGGTTCATGTTTAGTTTGATTGAATTTTGCAGATGGAGTTGTAGTAGAAGACTGCAAGCATAAATGAACTCAAACATTTGGAGGAGGAATCTCTCTCTAAATTTCAGATGGTATTTATGGAAATTCTCTGCATTTTGTACCATTTGAATTTTAAGAATGTGGTATCAGCTCAATGATGTGTTTAGTTGATGAACATCCCAAATTTTGGTTAACTTATGAACAGGGATGCAACTTTCAGCTCTGTATATATTCAATTCAAAGATTGAATATTAGTAAGTTGAGAGTAATGCAGAGATGTGGTTAAATTATGATTTATTATCATTGCAAAACATGAATTGTGTTCTATTATATTTATTTTTTATTGCAATTTTTTTATTAGTCATTAATGAAATTTAGTCCCTTTTTACACATTTGGTTTAAGGAAAAAAGAAGAAAAAAAAATAGGTGTAGCTTTTCCATTCCGCCATATCTACTGGATACCTTTTCTAAGGAAAAATTCATATATCCAATCAAATATTAAAGCTATTATTTATATTTAAAAACTATTTAAATTTTGAACCGGGAAATGATCTAATTTTGAGCCAATAAATTTACTAGAGAAATTTAACCCAACAAATATTTAGACTCAGCTACAGAGATTCAATTTCAGCCATAAAATAAATCTAAAAAAGGGTTCCTCCTAGCCAAAATCAAAATGCTAAAAGTTAACCAATATACACTTGGAAGCTTGAAAATCAATTAATTTGTTGCAAGGAGAAAAAACATAGGATTTTTTTTTAACAATGAAAAAGATTTTTTTTTAAAACATAAATATGTGGTATTGAAAAGTAAGTAAATTTGAATTAAAAATATATAGTGATAGATAAAAAAAATGAAGGTGAAGCATTGCAGAAGAGAGAAAAATGGAAGACATGAAATGTAATAGGGAGAGAGAGAAAAAGAAGAAAGAAAGAATAGGAGATATTTATGAAGTATTGGAAGCTGAGGTAAAATACATTTTTTATCCTGATTTTGAGGATAAGTATCTATTTGGTCTTTAAATTTCATAAAATACATTTTTTATCCTGAGTCTGAGGATAAGTATCTATTTGGTCTTTAAATTTTGTTGGATTACTTGGTAGGTTACATTTTAAATCCCTTAAATTTTTCCCTCCAAAAATAAAAAATACCAAATTCCCAAAATCTTCAATTATTGAAAAAATTCGAAAACCTCCTTCCTCCGACTTTTCTTCTTCCTCTGTCGTTATGTTTCCGTTCATTCCTTCTTCTTCGACCGTTCATCCATTGTTTTCGTATGTTTATCCCAAGGTTTATTTTTTGTCGCCGGTCGTCCGTCGACCATTCGAGCTCTCCGTTTATCCCTACCATTGTCTAGTCACCGACCGGAAGGTTTGTAGGTTATTTGCTTTGTTTATTAATTGTAGAGGGATATAGTCATATATACTTTATAGCCAGATATATGTTATATCTCAATATAAGTGTATGTTATAATGGCTATAATTTATATCATAGTGTATGTTGCTTAAGTTTATAGTCGGATATAGTCTATATTTCCATATAAATGAAAAAGGTAGCTGAATATAGTTTATATATATATATATATATATATAAATAAGTGTATGCTATAATAACTATAGTATTGAAATTTGGCCAAAAATTGTAATGAAATGAAAAATTACTCTGTAATAAATTTCATTATTTAGTAGAATATATTAAGCAGTAAATTTGGGGATTACGAGAATAATTGAATATTTTGTAATAAATTTAATTCTTTAGTAAAATATATTAAAGAGTAAATTGGGTGATTATAAGAATGATTGATTTAGGTCTCACAATCCTTAATGTTTACAAAATCAAATTTGGAATATTAATCTTTTGCAGTTAAATAAAAGAGTACTTATAATAAATATAAATGCCATGAATAAGGGCAAATTTAGTATTTGGAAAAAAAATTTAAATAGAGAAATTTGAGACTGTAAAATTTGTAAACATGGAACATTTGTGAAAATAAGTTTTCAAAATAGCTCATCCAAAACATTATCTCTAATTCTAAATGGTCCCTAAGGTTATTTGACACTAACGGAAAAATGATGTGGCATAAATGAGTTGGTAAATTTTAAATAGGGTGACAATATTAAATAATTTTATATTATTTTTATCTATTTGTTTCCTTTTCTATATTATTTTCCTCTCTTCCTCCCGGCTTCTTCTTCAAGTTTAGCCGTTCCTCCCCTTCTTCTTCCCGGCGAGGAAACTGGAGAAGAAGAATGGGAGGAACAACAAAACTTGGAGAAGAAGACGGGAGGAAGAGAGAGGAAGTGAAGGGATGAGAGAGAGGGGAAGAGAAAAAAAGGAATTGCATAAAAATAATATAAAATTATTTAATATTGCCAACTCATTTATGTCACAACCAACTAAGAATACGTTACTATTTAGAATTGTTTTCTAAAGATCGAGACCAAACCGTCACTTTTTAAACTTAAGAATCAAATAGATCCTCAAATTCAGGAACCAAAAATGTATTTTACCCCTAAAAAAACAACAATTATTTATATGTTTGGGCCACATAGGTATTCAGGAGTACAATTCTATGAATCTGGCGAAGTTTTTTCCTTTAAATTATTAGTCATATTTTGAAAACAAAACAAGTTTTAGAAAATTTATTTTTTCCAAAATTCGGTCCACATTTTAAAAATGTTTTTAAAAACTATATAACAAAACAAATCAAGATAGAGACTCACATTCTAAGTTTTTTTTTTTTAAAGAACGAAATGAATTTTAGTTCCAAACCTAAAAATAAATGTTAAATTACAAATTCCATCCATTTTTTTATCTTGAAACACATCCATGTTGTTTTAAGTATCGTGGATACTTTATTTTTAAACTTAAAAAGTTTTAACCATGTATACCAATGTGAATTTATCACCTCAACTAACTTATAAGCTCCAACAATATGGTAATACATATACTTCAAATAAGCAAAATAAATGGTATGAGAACCAAAATTATTACTCATTTATTTTTTCAGTTCAAGATTAAAATAGATATTCAAGTCAAGATAAGACACCTTCTTAATAAATAAAATCCGTAGGCAGAGATTTAAATCATAAATTTCAACTTCGTTTGATAATTATTTTATTTATAGTCTTATATTTTTCAAAATTAATCTTGTAAATAGAACTTTCATCCATGTATTACATTATTTTTCTATCTACCTTTTAAAAACATTTTTAAAACTTAAGCCAAAGTTGTGAAAACTTGAAAAAAAGTTTTCAAAAACTTGTTTTTGCTTTTGACATTGGCTAAAAATTCAAACGGTTTTAAAAAATGTGAAAATATACCAAAAGAAATTGTCAACAATAAAAAGAAGTTTATAGAGGGTCACTCCCATGACTCATGACTCCCCTTGTCTTCCCACTGGTCGACGCCTCCTGAATCCTTATTAACTAATGGTGCGACCACGACTCACTTGACTTAAAATATCGATCTAAATCAATGTAGGTTTAAATTTTCAAAAGTAAAAAAAAAAAAACGAAATGATTACTAAACGAGTTTTAATAATTCAATCAAAATGGAGAAAATTGAAATAAGAAAAAAACAGAGTTCAACAATAATTTACATATATTTGTAAGAGGCCGCTTAACAAAAATTGAAATAAGAAAAATAAGAAAAAGAAAAAATGGGTGTGAAAGTGATGTATGAAATCCAAAAAGGGGAAGTTTGAAAATTTCCAGTGGATAAGCAGATAGCAGCAACGGAATCCATCACAGAAACCGTAGACAAAAAATGGCTTCAATCTCCACCTTCTCCGCTCTCCACTCTATTTCTCGCCCTCGGCCTGCAAATCCAGCCCTAATTTCCACACCTTCCATCTCGCTTCCCACCTCTAACCTCTCCTTCGCCGCCGCTTCTTTCAGGAACTCGCCGGTTCAGGGCGAGAGGCGGCGGCGCCGGTTGAAACGAGCGACGGCGGTCGAAGAGGATGCTGCACTTCCGGAGCAAGAAGTTGAAGGCGAAGCGCCTTTGCCGTCTGAGCAGCCCGCGGTCACCGTGCCCGTTTCGCCCTCTGATATTCTCACCATGTTCTTTCAGGTAGCTGTCTGTTTTGCGAACAAAAAATTAAAATACCCATTAGTTAAAGTTTCTTCTTCTCTTCATGATTCGTAACTAGCTAGGAGGATTTTTATGATTGAATAAGACTATTTTTGTTGGTATTGGTTCTTCCAATGATTTCAGTCAATTGGATTTAGGCATTTTGTTGCTTAAGGTTGAGCATATTTGAGCACATTTTGGGCATTCTGGTTGATTGTGTGTCTAGGTTTTAAGTACTTTTGTGATCTGAGTTTTGACATTTTAATGACACGATATCGAAAGTTTTGTTAGTTGAATTTTGTATGATTGAGCAATTTTATAGTTTAACATAAAGGAGGTATTAATTGCCACTCTTATTTAAGCTCAAGGTTTCAATCGATGAAATCGAACTCTGTGATCTAGTTTTGGGGGTAAAAATTGAACATTCGGCTAGAAAATGGGATTCCGAATTTTGGTGAGAGATAGGCTTAGGCAACTATTCGAGAGCCGGGCCATTCTAGTGGCATCAGCGAAGCGCTTCCCGTTCCCTCTTTTTCATTCACATCATTCTTTTGCCAGTTGTTGTTGGAAACATAGGAGGAGGGAGCTTGTCTTTTATTTCGGAAAAAGAGCGAAAGTGAGGAAGATGGATTGTTATCCATCGGAAATCGATAGGAATTCCCCAGAATGCATGGTGGTGGCATTCTGTTTGAGGCACATTTGATCTGGGAATGAGAACTGCTGCATATGCATTAGAGTTTTAGCTGCTTAATTCTTGACATTTTGAACCATGCTATTTTAGGATTTGGGGAATTGTATCTTAGAATTGTTTGAGGCATCTCTAATGGTTAAACTTTTTTTTTTTCTTTTCTGAAGGCAGAGGGGACACTAAATGAAACAGCTATTCCTTCTGTAACTGAGGCATTGGAGGTACATTGTTCCATCATCCTTACACCTTTCATTGTCTTGTTTCTTCTTATTTGTTTGTCAAATAAATGTCATGAGGAAGTACTGTTTCTGATAATGGATAAACTGAGTTCTGTTAGGAGAACTCCAACTTTGATAAGACCTGAATTTTCAACCCACAAGATAAGGGATACCTATAACTGGCCCAAGTGGGAAATCCTACTGAAGATTTTGAATAGGACCTGAATTTTCACCATTTTGAATTGAATAGATTACTTCAAACCTCTCGTAGCCTGATCACAACCGTTGAAGTCAGTTTAGTACTCTGGTGGTGGAACATTTAAGTGCAAATCAACTGGAGATCATTTAAGCACTTTTTACCATTTTCAAAGTCATACCAAACTCACTGGAAATGAATTTTTGAACGTTTAGTAGCCTGATCACAACCCTTGAAGGCCAGTTTAGTACTCTGGTGGGGTAACTGCAAATTGACTGGAGATCATTTAGGAATGCCGTTGCCTTTGACACGACTCGGCTAATGCGATGCTATGTGTGTATAAGTATATCTGTGTATGTTCACTTCTACAGTTAGATCATAGATGTCTAAAACGCTGAAATTTAGTAGAATGTGCTGAAGTAAAAGGAAATGTTGAGTTACAGTTAACAACTAATTTCTAGTTCTCTTCATGCTCTCTCCCCCATCGTTTCTCGACTCGGGGTTTAGCTACTGTTTGCAGTAAAATCGAAGTCTAAAATTGCTTAATTCAAATATGCTCTTATGCAGCAAACGGAGGGTATCACTGATTTGAAGGTTAAAGTTGTTGAGGGCATTGCATCTGTTGAGGTTTGTATGTAGTAGTAGTTATTACTCTTTAGTTAGCACATGCCATTCAGCCAACGACTTCTGTGTGTTCTATCGAATTGCCTAAACGCTCTTTTTGTCTTTTTTGTTCTAGCTTACGAAACAGACAACCATACAATCGACAGGAGTGGCGTCGAGCTTGATCGAGGCCATTCAGGGTGCAGGTTTCAAGTTACAAACGTTAAATCTGAGTTTCAAGGACAAGGAAGAAGTTTTTGCTTAAATGTCGATCAGGTCTGATGAGATTATATTTTTGCCATAGCTTGATTTTTTGTGTATGAATGGTGGGGTGAGTTTCATCTTTATGTCACAAGGATGGAGAAATGGCATGCTATTAATCCAAATGAACCATATTCTTTGAAACTATTTGTTTTCTCACATAGTATTCACACGTGCGGAGGGACGATGTAAAGAGGGGATGATCCACTCTTAGTTTGTCGTTGGCACGTAAAATTTTGTCCGTCCCTAAGATATGGCTCCACTCCCTGAGTATTAGAAGTTTTGACTAAAACTTGAACTGATAAGATTTCCTTATTTGCATAATTCAAGCCTTGCAGAATGTAAAACTTCACCTAAAATGTTGCATTTATTTTGTGGGAATCTCGGATGGAATAAGAATTAAAAATTTCAGGGTGCGTTTGAAACAAGGGATTCAATGAAAAGAGTTGTATTTTTGGTTTTCAGTGTTTTCAGATATGTTTTTGGTAGCAGATTTGGTAATTGAATTTCAATTTAAAAAATTGTCCAATACGTATTTAGTAATATATTTGTAAATTAGAAGTAGCTTCAAATTAAATTCTAGTTTAATGTAAACTTATATTAATTATGAATTTTGTATAATTATTATTTTACAAGGTTATATAATTTAAAATACATTATATTTTACCTGTTTTAATTTTAACAAACATAAAATGAGTTTATAATATGAAGTAATATATTTATCAAAGTTTTTATCATTTTTAATGTAATTCTGGATCTTAAAAATTTTAAATTTTAAATTTGAAAATATTGAAAACATAAAAAAGTCGTTTTCAGAATTTCACTGTTTGGATCACTAAATCCGAAAACAATTTTAAAACGAATCTCCAAATTCTTGCAAACCGCATGTTCGCTGAATCACAGTATATGCACAATAGCAAGTCTTGTGTCTGCGTATTCTTCCAAATTCTTGAGTCTTTAGTTTCTACGAGACTAAAACCCTAATGTGTGTGATGTACTTTGAAAGTCCATAGCCCTCTATTTGGGTGATCTATATAGACTTGATGGATAATATACTTGTGAAAATCCATAGTCCTTTATTTAGGTGGTTTGTATAGACTTGATGGATCACTTATGTTGTGATGTACTATGAGAATCCATAGCCATTTATCTGGGTGGTCGACTTAATAGATGAGATATGAAGTCTTCATAGATCAAATTTTTGAGTGGTTTATCTGTGATAGACTTGATGAAGGAATAACGCGATTGTGAAGGTGGGCTGCATTCTATAAAATAGTTAAAAGGTATCTTTCTACAGCTTTCACGATGAACCAAAGTTTTATGTGCAGGGCCATTAATTGCACTTGATTTATATCGCGAATCGAAAAACAATGAATAAAATGTGTTGTGGGGGTCTCAACCAACTTTCATTATTTAGGTTGTTGCCTTACTTCACTATGCATTAATTCAAATCGTAAGATATTAATGCTTAAGTTTATTTTCTTTCATTGCTCAGAAAATGTATTTTTTTAAGAATTAGAGGATTGTTGGGAATGACTAATATGTCCTTACAAAACTTAGTCTTCTAGCTATTTTTAAAGTCAATAAATTTAGAATATACTATTTTTAACTTTACTATTTTTAAAACCACAAAAAATGACATATTGTTTCTATATAAATAAATACTCGTTTTTGTTTTATAACATAGTGAGAAAATTCTTCTGAGCATGTTTATCGATTCCATTCAACCCCGACGAGTGTACGCTTGGGTTCGAAGTTGTGTTAACCTTGGGGAGTGATCGACCAACATACGATGTAGCACCATGGTCGTGCTGTAATTGCTTTTAGGGCAGTGGCTTCGTCCACGGCACAACAAAACAATTGTTTTTCATCTAAATTCTTCTTTATTTCCAACACTTGTTAGACCTTTGGTAAGAGGATTTGCCAGGTTTCTCTCGACCTCACATACTCCAAAGAGATAACTTAACCTTTCAACAACTGCTTCACAACTCTAGTGTATATGCTGTCTCTTGCCATTGTACATGGCAATTCGTATGACAACTTGTTAATCACAATGCAAAGTATGGTAGAATAACTCTTATAGTAGTTTTCTAATATTTCATGAAATATTGTTTCTCACTTAAATAAAACACATATTGAGTATGAGAAATTTTCTCATACTATTATTTGGGAACACATATAGACATGTTCATAATAAATTATTTATAACTATTAATTTTATATCTTCAATATAAACTATATATTCAACTATAGTCCATTAAGATCTTAAATCACTAATAGAAAAATCTTAATCCATCATCCATTTTTATGAGCTTTCACTCATATTTGAAAGTTTCATATTTTCTATTTTCAACAAGGATGAGGAAATTATATATCAATAAAATAATTTTCATTCTAATGAAAATTCATAGTCAATTAAAAATCTCAATAACTACGATGATTTAAGATACAAAATCAAACTTAAATTATTTAAATTGAGATACTCTATTACCTCATTTTTACCTCGTTTTTACTTGTTCACAATTTTAAGCTAATCAGCTTAAATAAACATTTGCAATTGTTTTAATTAAACCATAAATAATTGCAAATTTTACAAGGAATAAAATCGAGAAACTTGCTTTAGCTCAGGCATAAAACACATATACACAATAAATATCAATAAATATTAGGTTCAAAGTGTGACAATGATATAAATTTAAAAATGTTAAGATAAAATATTTAGAACTTTTCACTCATAATATAGGAAAAATCAGCCTATATAAAATTTAACTGCGTAGCGAATAACAATCCAAATATTTTCAACTTAATTTTGACATAACCAAAAAACACATTTATGCCAAATCACATTTATGCATGAGAATTATATTATCGCATAAGTCTCAATAATATGGAACACAAAATTATTTATGCATGAGAATTATATTATCGCATAAGTCTCAATAATATGGAATACGAAATTGACATGTTTAGTTTCCCTTCTTCTTTTCTTCATCTTTCAAATTATTTTCGGTGATCTCCTCCACAATTGTGGTCTTTGCGTATAATCCATCTCCCACAAATAATGCCAATGAAAATTTTGGAAACATACAAAACAAAGATTATTAACCACAAAAGAAAAATCTAACTCAATTAAACCATAAAATATATACATTAAAGGATATGGTTGGATTCACGGTTTAATTCATGGTCCGGTCCATGAATGACTCGAATGTTAAAGGATTTTCTCTCTCCTCATCATTTCTTTTTATTTTTATTTTTCCTTTTCCTTTCTTTCTTTCTTTTCAGCCAGGAGAAAACTTCGCTCCTCACGGTTCAGAGCATTGTGCTCCTTATGCTCACATGTTTTTACAGTAAAATGACAAGTGTTAGTAATTTCTTTATTTTAATTATTTTATCAAAACCCACAATCTCATCAAAATATCTCCAAAATCTCTTTTAGTCTTTTTAAAAAGTGGGTAATGATTCATTACCCCATTTTTTCTCTCTTCTTCGCTTTTTTTAGCTTAAGTTTACAGTATAAAAAAATTCATATCCACAATTTAGAGTTACAAAACACACACATATGTATATATTGATTTTTAATTTTCATAGTTTTAAATGATTCTCGAAAAGTCGCTTAACATTATATCATTTTTTTTCTCTATTCTATTATTTTGTTTTGCATCTCATGGTCTTCTAATTTATGGGGCTTTTGCAGTTTTTTGTTCGTASCCAGTTTTGCAGAAGTTTTGAAACATTGGATTAAAGTTGCAAAATTTTTTTCTTCTTTCCCTTTAGCTTCAAATGACCACCATCACAAATTAACGGATCAATTATTGTAAGTCTAAGATATCAAGAAAATTTACGCAAGAGGTAATAAATTAGATATCAAGACACAAATTAATATGGTTCAGCCAATTTGGCCTACATCTACTGATTGAAATGAAGTTTTCTTATTAGTCAATAATAAAAAATGAGTAGATTCAGAAAAATTGATACAATATGAATGCCCAAAATTATGGAAAAACTAATACCCCTATCTCAACAACAACGCAACTATTACTTACATGTCACATGATATTCACACGGTTTAATAGCATAAAAAAGATAAAGTTAAACTTCTTTTAACTTTTTATTTTCTTTTTCTTTTATCTTTTTTCCTCGCCCTTTATAAATTATCTCTTACTAATTAATTAACAAAAGATAAATCAAATTGAATTATAGAAAACACTCAATGTTTATAATTTCATACAACATTCAACAAAAATATATTATATCACTAAAGATAATTCTATCTATTCCTTTCACTCAAAATATTTCAAAATAAGTTTGAACACTCTAATTTTCAACCTCCTTGGTCGGAGTTTTGTTGTCCTATAGTAAAGTTGCCTACAAAACAATAATATAATTTGAAATATTAACAAGTATTCATTAAACAAAGAAACTAAACTAATTTGAATACACAATTTACCTCAAGTAATTGAGTGAATGACATATTATTTTGTCAATCAATGCACGTGCCAACATTTTTATCTACGGATGTTGCTTGTTTGGCTTAAAATCAGCAACAAATTTTCTGCACACACATCGGTCTCCTAATAAGAAAAATTTTAAGATGCATCAATGTAGGTGACAAGACATTTTGATTTATAGATGTTTCTTTTTTTTTTTTTACCTTTAAAGATGTATCAAGATTTTTACTAATGTTTATGATCTCCATTTGTGTATCTTTCTCCACAGTAGTTTGATTGTTTTCCTAAACGAAAAAAAAATAGAAGAATTAAATATATTTAAGGATCTAGTGTTTGATATTCGACTTGTGTAAGTGTTAATTGATTTGATGAAGACACTTTGTTCGACTTCACTTTTTTTTGCATCTTCTCTTTTCAAGTGGATCTTTCAACCGGTTATGAGGACGACCAACTGTAGGCTTTCTCCTCACTGCACATACTTGCACAAACAATTATTGGTATATCTGGTACTCGTTTCTCCCACATTTGGACTATTCCCAATCAAAACTAAATCTTGTTCATTGCTAAGCTGATTATCTTCCATAAAAATATTTTTCTTCATTTCCTCCAAATCTTTGAGCAATTGAGTAAAATTTGCAGAAGCATACCCAAACAACTTTTCATGTTCTGCTGCTAGTGAAGTAATTTGGCAAAAATTACGACAAAAGT